AGGGCTTGCGCTCGTAGGAGATTTAGAAACCCAGATCTAATTTTCAAAATTGAAATTTTCAAAAAAATCTTTAATTAATTATTTTTGGGAAAATCCAACGATCATTATCATCATTTTCAAATGATCGATAATGATTGATATTTTCTTTCTTCGGAGAGATATGTCAATTATTATCGTAATTTTTATTATGAAATTAATGATCTTCAATCCATATTAGCTTAGCCAAATACTCGATTAAATCCTATTTTGATCTTTCGAGATAAAAAACGATTCTTCTTGAATTTGACTACGATAATAAGGACAAAGTTAAAGTTTTGTAATCTGAACCAATTAGTGAATGATATCTTCGCCTTTTTGAGATGATATATCATTCCTAATCCTGAGTTCCATTACAGAATTAAAATTCAAAATTTAATCTTCCCAAAAATAATTAAATATTTTCAAAAACTATAATTATAAATTATATTTTTTTAATCAAAACAGCCATAATATTTATTATCATTAAAAATATAAACTCATAAGCTCGAGTTGCAAAAAATTAATTTTCTAGAAGAAGCAAAATTTCGCACTGAATCGCTAAAAAGTAATAGAGCAAGAAGTCGATAAACTCCTAGAAGCTAGATTTATATGGGATGCACACTATCTCATATGGCTAGCCAATGCCATCATGGTTAGGAAAGCTAGTAAAGATTGGAGAATGAGTGTGGACTATACAAAGCTTAATAAATCATGCCCAAAGGATAGTTTTCCACTCCCTTATATTGACCAACTAGTTAATACTACATTCAGGCACGAAATGCTAACCTTCATAGATGCCTACTCTGGCTACAATTAGATAATCATGGATTCTACAAATGAGGAGGCAATAGCTTCTGAACATATAAAAGACTATATTATTATCTTATCACGCCATTCAAACTCAAAATACTTGGGCAACATACCAGCACCTCATGAATAAATCTTTTAAAGACCTTATTGGGTATATTATGGAAGTATATGTATAAAATATATTGGTGAGAAGGTTTAAAAATGATAATATATCTCTGAATGGGATAAATGCTTCAACCTTCTACAACACTATAACATGCGGCTCATTAATGATAAATGTGCTTTTGAATTCATATTGAGAAAATTTTTATGATTCATAGTTACCCACCCAAGGGAATAAAGCTAGTCCTAAAAAGATTAAGGCACTAAGAGATATAATGCCCCTAAAAAATATCAAGGAATTCTAATGTCTGAATGGAAGAATTACAACTCTATCTTGCTTTTTGGCTCGTTTAACAGATAAATACCTTCCTTTCTTCATGATACTAGAATGAGGTTATAACTCAGGATTCCAGTGAATAGAAGAGTATCAGGAGGATTTTAAACAACCCTGAATATATTTAACTTCACCTCAACTACTTTTAAAGCCAATACATAGAGAAATGTTATACATGTGTCTAGCTATTTCTTTGTATGATATATGCTTGGTCTTTGTTTGAGAGGAAAATATTATATAATGTCTCATCTATTATGTTAGTAAGATTATTTCTAAGATAGAGAAATGCTACCCATTGGCAGATAAAACATCATTGACATTAATCTTTTCAGCTAAAAAGTTATGCCTATATTTTAGGCTCATACAAGTAGGGTTTATACAAATCTCTCATTAAGAAATATCTAAAAGTTTGAGTAGGTTGTTAGACCTTTTTGAACTGTCCCAAGGCTAACTAAGAGAGGTGAATGGATAATTTTCAAAAATTCTTGGATTGTCAAAAACTATTTTTAGAAATTTTAAGCAATGATCCTCACTACAGGAAAAACATACAATACCGGCAGCCTAACCGGCGGTTATATGGCCGTTGGTAACATCGGCGGTTTCACCGGCGGTTTGGACGCCGGTTTTTACCGGCGGCCGAACCGGGGGTTTTATTAGGTAAGGCCGCCGGTAATAGCGTCGGTTCTTTAACCGCCGGATAAACTGCCGGTGATCAATATTATCGGCGGTGTACCGGCGGCTTACACCGTCATTGTTAAGTGAACTCATTACCAGCAGCCTGGACCGCCGAAAGGCCGTTGGCAAAAGCCCTAAAATTAACAGGCCCGAGCCTCTCTTCTCATTTCTATTTTTCCCTTCTCTCACTTCGAACAAGCTCTGTCGTTGCCTCCGCCCGCCTCTTCGCTCGATCGAGGTCGCTGACAATCACCGGCAACTTCTCTTTGGCCGCCGACCACCGTCGACCCCATACCGGTCGCCCTCAAAGCTACTTGTTACCCAAAGCCACCGGTATTGGGTGATTTTCCTGTAGTGCCTGAAATATGTAGTTGTGAAATAAAATGATTATTACAAATTTTTTTCAACCATAAAATTTTAAAGTGCAGAAAAGTTAAAATACAGAAAAATTAAAATGAATAGAAGAATGCCAAATTTATAGTGGTTCGGTCCAAACTAGACTTATATCCACCCCTTGAAGAATCCTTCTACAAGGGTTGCACTAAATCAAAATGACTCTCCTTTAGCCTCCATAGTAAGTCAAAGAAGCCCTTACAAACTCTCTTCCACTAACCCAATGCGGTAGAGTACCAACATCATTTATCACCCTCCTGATGATGATAGAGAACCTTAATCCTTTCTCACCCTCCTTGTCATGGGCGGATTCCCATTAAGTTGAGGGGGGGCACAAAATTTTTTTTTTTAAATTTTTGAGGGATATTTTGGAATATTTTGGGTATTTTGGGTATTTTGCCCCCTCTCAAAAAATTTTTTTGCCCTCATTTAATCAATCCTAAACATCTTTGCCCATCCCCTACAAAAAAAATTTTTTTTTGCCCACCCTGAAAAAAGAAGCTGGATCCGCCCCTGCTCCTTGTGACGGTAGAGAACCTTCATCCTTTTTCACCCTCCTGGTGACGGTAGAGTACCTTTATCCTTTTTCACCCTCCTGGTGAAGGAAGAGTACCTCGACACAATGTTGAAGATCTTTTTTCAAAAGCCTTCAAAGAAGATGAGCAAAAATTTGAAGAAGACAAAGAGATTCTCGCTTTGGGTAACCTTGTGAATCCCTCACAACTCTCTCTCACTTGATCTCTAATAATTCACTATCACAATCTCTCCCAAACACTCACACTCAATGGCCACTCTCCAGAGAAAATTACATCAAAGGTTTTGAGTGTCAGTTTTTAGGACTCTTATATTGAAAATACAAGAAAAATCGCCCAAAAATTTGAAAATTACAATTAAACCAACTTTAGATTGTACAATACAATCGTAGATTGTCTATATGAATATTTAAAAACTCCAAGTACGATCATGTACAAACCATATTTCCTATTATGTTAGTCATTTGTATGAACTAACATCGTATTATACGAACAGTTTAAAATTGAAACTATTGGTTTAGTACAATCATGTATGAACCTTATTACATACTCTATCAGTCATCTATATGAACTGACATCGTATAATATGAACATTAGCACAAATCATGCTTCATTTGGTATAAACGTGGGAGACCCCATTTCATACTCTGTTAGTCGTCTGTTCGAATTAACATCATATAGTATGAATAATATAAAAATAAATGAATTCATTTGGGATGAATTGGTATGCACCCAATTTCGTATTCTGTCAGTCATCTATATGAATTAACATCATACAATACGAATAATACAAAAATAAAAGACATGATTTG